AAAAGAAAAAGAAAGCAGTTAAAGCGCATTTTTCTGATCAATAATGTCTCTGATATGAATTTTTCAATTTAAAAGATTTATCTTATTAATTTATGTGTACTAATGATGACTTACATGTATGTCTGTGCCTGCCTAGAGTCTCAGGAGGCCAAGAAGATATCAGATCCCTTGGAACTGGAATTACAGATAGTTGTGAGCCACCATGTGTATCATGAGAATGGAACTCAGGTCCTCTGGAAGAGCAGCCACTACACCACTTCTCCAGTCCTTGATTTGAGTTTTTTGCTGTCCATGAACTGAAGATATTCAACAAGTTTTAGAGACATTAATTTGCCACTGTTGCATAAAATCTTTATCAAAAATAAAAGTTTATTATAAATATCAAATGTGTTTTAAACAATGAAATATAATCTTTTGGTTCCATTGATTGTCCTATAATTTTATGTATGATGTTTGCTGAAATTTTTAAAGAAATAAGGAAAACAATGTATTTGCATTTAGATTTGGTCACCAGCAAAGAGCAATCTCGTAATTCATTTTGCTTGAAACACATCTTTTTGGAATGTGACTTTGGAAATTTTTATTAGTTTAAAAAAGTATGTCTTCTTTCCGATTTTCTATTTGATATTCTATTAAAATATAACTTCCTGTATAATAAAAATGCTGTCTGTGATTCTGTTTTGTAGCTAAAATCACTGCCTATATTCTAAATTACTTACAGCTGTTAAAAAGAAATTGAACCTAAAACCAAAGGAAGCAGTAAAGCCACACTAGTATTATCTACAGTATTCTTATCCTATAAGAAAGTCCTATTAAACCCCACTGCCGCCCCCCCCAACAAATTCTAGAGAGATGTCCCAGAGGCTAAAAGTATTTGTTTTGCAAGTATAAAGACCTGAGTTGGAATCCCTGGAATCCATATAAAGTCACGCATGACAGTGTGTTCTTGTAAGCCCAGCATTGGGAGACGCAGACAGATCTGACCAGCTGGCCTAACAACAACAACAACAACAACAACAAAACAAACAAACAAACAAAAACAAAGATGGGGGACTTCAAATTTTGTGAAGACCTTGTACCAAAGAAATAAGATGGAGAATGATACCAAGTGATATCCGACATCCTGCTCTGGCCTCAGCATGTATGTGCAAAGGCACACACGTTCTCATACTCACATGTATACACCACATACATACAAAAACACATAAAACAATCAGATAAGCCAACAGTGGGAAATGTTCATGACATCGGTTATAAAAGGATCAGCTGAAAGAGTGAAAGTTTTGTTATTTTGTCAACTTGGAAAGTAGGACAAAGGGTGAGTCAGCTGAGACATAAATGAAAGTAACCTCTACGCTGACCTCCATGTTGATGGCAGAATGTAATATTAGATTATGAAAGTCAGGCATCCTGGCATGCTGAGTTGGCAGGGGAAGAAGTCACTTTTCTTTATATTTGAGAATAGATGTTCCCCCATACAATATATTCTGATCCTGGTTTCCTGTCCCTCATCTCCACCCAGATCCTTCCCCCTCTTCACCCATTCAATTCCATGACTTCTCTCTCTCTCTCTTCAGAAAGCAAACGGACAAATTTAAAAGGCAAGAATTAAACAGTGCAAACAAAAATCTGGAGGAAACACAAAACAAAGAAAAGCAGCGCACACTCACGAAGACACACACACTACAGAGAGTGAGAGAGAGACATGTAGAGACAGAGAGAGAGAGAGACAGACAGAGAGAGAGAGAGAGAGAGAGAGAGAGAGAGAGAGAGAGAGAGAGAGAGAACCTACAAAAGCACAAGATCAGAAGCCATGATGAACATGATGAATAAGCAAAAGACCAGTAAGGGGGAGAAAAGCCTGCCAGATGCAGCTACAGCACCAGGAGATGAAATTTTCCAAGCACATCATTGAGATTGTTTTGTGTTAGCCATCTGCTTCAGGGCACAGGGCACCTCCCTATGTGGGTAAGAGAAATTTTCTTCTCTGATGTTGCTGAAACATTCACTGTGCCTTTGACCTACTTTGACCTGGGTTTCTTCTCCTTCCTAAGTTCCCATTATTTGTAGAGTTGGCCCTTTTGTATTGCTCCACATTTCCTGGATGTTTTGTACCTGGACTTTTATTTTTTTAAGATTTAATAATTTTTTTTGGCTGAGGTATCCATTTCTTCTACCTTTCCTCCAATGTTTGAGATTCTCTCTTCCATGTCTTGGCTTACCTCTGAGGTTTTTGTTTGACTTCCTAAATTGTTTATTTCCAGTTTTATCTCAGTTTGGGTTTTCTTTGGTGAGTCTACTTTTATTTTCATGTCTTGAGATGTTTTCATTATTTCATTAGGTTGTTTGTTTGCGTTTTAACATACTTCATTAAGGGATTTATTCATATCCTCTTTCAGTTTCTTGAACATAGTCTTAACAGCTATTTTGAAATCCTTGCCTTGTACTTAAGCTATAATGCATTTCTCAAGGTGTTATTGTAGCGTGGTGGCTGGGTTCTGGTGGAGATAAATTATCCTAGCTGTTAATGATTGCATTTTTGTACTGGTGTCTAGGTATTTGGGGTTGGTATGGTTGTGATTTAAGATATTAGTATCTGATCTTGTCTTTTGGGGTAGATATTCAGTTCCTTAGCTTCGGTCACCCTCTTGGACCTTAGAAAACTGGACGCTGTGGGTTTCTCCGCAGGACGTGTTTCTGTGGTCTAGTGAGTGGCAGAGGAGAGTAGTTGTGGGCTAGAAAAAGGCAAGAAAGGCTGGAGATAGGAGCTAAGAGGATCCTGTTATCATCTAGAGCTGGGTTGGAGTTGGAGGTGTGGTGGGAGGGGAAGGATGGGTTCCTTCTGGTAGGTTACAGTTATGGTAAAGCAAAGAATTATCTGGAGAGACAGGAAAGAAAAGGTTAGAGGGAACCTGGGTCTATTTCAAAAGCTGGAGTCTCTGGTGAATGAAGGGGCCCCTGACAGCCAGGTGATACACTGCTGAGGCTGACAAGGGAGAAATAATAAAGGAGGACAGGGAGTGTAGAGTGATTCACCTAATTGAGTCCTTTCTAATATGGCCACCTGAGGGTCCCTGGGGAAAAGTCTTTTTAGGTATTACGGGCAGACACAAAGGAAAGGGGGTGAACTAGAACAGGGTGCTGAGAGGGTCTGCAGGAAGACTGAGCGCTGCATCTGTTGCTGGAGGGTTGCTGCAGTCCCCAAGGAACAAAGGCAGGATGGGAGGGCCAGCCCTGCAAGGGGCTAGCTCCGGTGCTGGGGATGAGACTGGATGGACTGAAATTTAGGACGGGAGGATATTGAAGATGGCCTACCCACTTCCCAGGCTGCCACAGCCACCCAGAAATCATTTTTCTAGTATTTATCAATCTGAATTATAGCTTAAGAAAGAGTTTCTTAGTGAATTTTTCTTATTTTTATTGACGCCTGGACAATAAGGAAAACAGGGCTATGTTTATTAGTAATCTTCTTTTTGCTACAAGATAATGAAGTATTTATATCATATAAAGGGCAGAAGCATGAGTGACTGACCAGACAGAAAAGACTTACAGCTACCTGAAGTTAGTAATTTAACATTGTTTTTAGTAGCAATTATGATTTTCCATAAAACATGAACCAGAGAAATCTAACTTTTTTAAATTGCTGTTTTTGTTCTATAATTTTTATGTAAACAGATAAAATCCAAAACACTTTTAATCTCTGGGGTAAAAAAACACCTGACTTTACTGGTTTTTAAGATTTCCAAGCTCGGAGATTGTTGCCTGGACTCTGTGTAGCATGCTCACCCACATACCTCAGCTAGGGGAGGGTGGACTCAGAAAAAGACTTTCAGGAAGACAGTCTTACTGTTCAAGCAAATGTTTCAGCATATTCTGATTATTTATGATAATATTACTTAGAGTTTACACAAGTAGAAATCTTTACATGAGTTACCTATTCCTTTACATACTTCAAACAAGACGCATCTCCACATACCAAATAGAAGCCTGAAATAAATCCTAACCCATAATTTCCACGTACCTTGGGAGGAGTCCAGTTATTTCGGCTTTACATATTTAACCCAGTCCAATAATGGAAAATTCTATTCCGATTTTTCTCTCAAAAGTGTTTGAAGAAAACCACTGTACCAGTTAGTGTGGAGCAAAGGAAATGTTTCTGTGTTCACTGACATTTCCCTAAATGATTTATTGCATAGTAGTGTGAGGCTAAAAGTCAAGTGTACGATGTTGGCTCTTCTCAGAGCCAGAGAAGCATGAGATGTTTCAGATGCTCACATTTACCTTCTGGAATTGTCTGACTTTAGGATGGAGAAAACTATCCGTAGGGATAACGGCCCAGTACATACAGATCTATGAAGTTGTTGTGTCTGTTGGCTAATAATTCTCACACACTTCACTTAGAACAAACTGTAAATGACCCTTCTTTGAGTAGCAGCGGTAAAATAGCAATAAAAATAAAGATCGAATGAAGAAAACCTTTACTGTATGGATGGTTCTCTAGGAAAGCAAAGATGGGAGAAAATTTAAACATGTCTAGCCATTCTGGACTCTATTATTTTGATTGCTACCAGTCTGTGTTTTGAAGCCTATATGTAGTAATCATTTTATGAGAGTGCCCTGACTATTTCTATAACTATCTTTATGTATTGCTTTCAGTATAAATAAATTCTGACTTCAAGTAATTGAGGAAATAATAGGCAAATTTAGTGTTTTAGTTATGATGAAATCCTCTGAAATTATTTTATGTGTTAATTTTAAGAAATTATTGTTCCATCAATTTTGTTCATTGTCAAAATGTTCTTAAGCTAATTCTAGGCTACATACTGAGAAAGAGGAGGAAGTTGGGGAACTTACATGATTGCCAGTTTTAGCATAAAACAACAGTCATTAATACCATATAACAGCGGCTTAAGAATTCTAATCCATACAAGAAGAAAACTGTCTAGAACTCATTCACTTGTAGTGACATGATAGGATGATTCAGTGTGGAGGACAATCCTTAAAAAAAATGATGCTAGAACAAAAGGATAGCTATTATTTCAAAAAAGATGTGGCAACAAACTTGCACACTCTGTTCATGTCATATGCAAATCATAAATAAGCTTAGATCTTAGACTGCATATAAAAATTAAAACTAAATATTTGTAGAAGAAAAAACAGGTTAAGCTATTTTCTTAAGCAAAGAGTTCTTAGATATGGATCCAAATGCCTTATGCACAAACGTAATAAAATGATAATCTTGACTTTACCCAAATTTAACATTTGATTTTCAAAAGGTAAAGGTAAGAAAATATAGAGACAATAGGGGTACATTTTTACTATAGTTTAAGGACTTAGATCCAGAACGTATTAGTTATCTATTCTGCAGGTTGAACTTTTCCAATGCTTAGCATCCTAAATCAAGAAACAATGGAGTTTTTGAAGGTCAAGTGTCTGAATGTGACTTGACTGAGTAAGTGCCTATGGCTAAAGAATCTAGTATTTCTGCTGGCCAAAGCTGTGGCCATCTGGAAGTAGCAGTCTTACTCACTTAGTTCTTAGCAATCCTCTACCAGCCATCTAACTATCCTTATGATATGGGTTC